CATGCTGGGAGGTTCTGAAGCCTCACAAAATCTTATGAAGATGTTGCAGGTTGGAATCAGTTTAACTGGCACTACAGAAGTTAATGGGGAAAGGCACTCTAAGAGTTCCAGATCAGTGCCAAAGTAGGTTCTGGGAGCCAACAGAATAGCTTTCCAATTGTTCTCCAGATGTTTGGGGTTACAATGTTCAGCATGCCTGACCATTGACCATGCTGGATTAATGGGAGATGAAGTCCAAAACATATGGAGGACACCAGGTTGGAGCTGATTGCAGTAGATCCATCCTGAAAGAAGGAAGGCATCACCTGTTGGTTATCTTGGCCAGCCGCCATGTTTAATCCTGTTGCAGCCATGTATGTGCTACCGATGGTTTTGATTTTCTCAACCCCACTGAATTTGGGCTTCAGGAGGAGCTGTTGAAACAGAAGCAGGGAAGTTACTTATTCTAGTAGTTATGAACCCCAGAACATTCTTGCTGGATCATACCAATTATCTACCTAGTGCAGTATTTTGACTCAGACTGTGGTCATACAGAAATTCCTAAAGTTCTCTAGTGAAGACTAAAGGGAAATTAAAGAGAGAGATGAGCAGTGAAGGGGTAAACATGGAGCAGCTGCAGTGGGGAGAATTTCTCTCCCTTTCACACACTTTCCCCCGCTGCCCAAATGGTAGGCTTAATTCTTGGGGTAAAAGGCAAAAGATCATGAAAGGGGATTCCTACCACCATTGGCTTCGCATGATTCCATCACCCTATGCCTTGGAACCCCTTCTCACAGAGACTGAGTTCTCCAATAATGAAGGCTTGGGGACCCTACCTCCAAACTGTGCCAATCTATACCCCCACCCAAAAAAGTACAAGTGTACTAGTAAGTACTAGAATTCCCAATACCTCATCAAAGTCAGCAATGATCTCGTTGAGTAGCCGAAGACACTCAAGACCCTCGTGGTTGACGTTGGATTCGGAGTAGAATTCTTTGAAGTCAGGGATGGAAGCGAATAGAACACAGACACAGTCGTAAGACTGGTGGTAAAGATCCTGCTGGCGGAGAAAGGGTGCAGTAGGACCATCAGAACCCTGTGCCATAGCACCTCTTAAAATTCCATGCCAAGGAGATCCACATTCTGCTGTGTGGGTCATCTGGGGAGCTTCTAACCCTTTAGGAGAACCAGGGCTGTGCGCCCTTACCTGGATGAGCAGAGCCTAGCAACAGTGACCCATGCTCTGGTAACTTCCTGATTAGATTACTGTAATGTGTTCTATGTGGGGCTGCCCTTGAAAATGGTCCAGATACTTCAGTTGGTCCAGAATAGAGCTGCCAGGATATTAACAGGAATTGGAGGATACTCATATATAACATCAGTCCTCTGTCTGTTACACTGGTTGCCAATTGAAGTCTGGACCCAATTTAAGGTGCTAGTGATGACCTACAAAGCCCTACACAGCTTGGGTCCTGGATACCTGAAGGAGCGCCTCCTTCCATGTATGCCCTTCCATCCCTTGAGATCTAAGGCAGAGGTCCCACTCTGGGAGCCCTCCTTGAAGGAGATTAGGAGAGTGGCTACCTGAAGAAGGGCCTTCTTCTGTGGTGGCACCCCATCTATGGAATACTCTCCTCAGAGAGGTTCACCTGGTGCTGATGCTTTATTCTTTTTGGCATCATGTGAAAACCTTTTTATTTTTACACTATTTTAATGTTTAGTTTGTTTTAACTGGGGTTTTTATCTTGATTGCTGGATGCTGTATTGTTTTGTTATTTTATTGTCCTTTTTTGAAAGCCGTCCCAAGATGTCAAAGTGGTATAAAAGTTTTTAATAAATGGACAGGGTATAAAAGTTTTTAATAAATAAATAAGTAGTGAGCTGTACTGGGGGAACTTGCATAGAACTTCTGCACTATGCGTTGCTGAATGACAGCTCTGCTCAGGCTGGCTGAGGTTGATGGGAGTTGTAGTCCAGCAACATATGGAGGGCTGCAGGCTCCCCACACCTATTCTGGATTCTCCTTTTTCAGGAGCCCTCAACCATGCTATGAGGGAAATGCTTCAGCAAGACATCCACCCTCACTCCACACCTGTCTCTGGTGCTCCATTACTCACCAGCAAGTCTCATCCTGCCTCATCCTGCAGATGCCACCAAAGCACAAAGAACTTCAGAGCCTTCCATACCATCAGCCCAGCTTGGAGAGTGGTGGAGTGTGTGGGGAAGGGACTAAGACTGCAGAGACCTGGGTGCCTATCTCTCACACAGCCTCAAGGCTTGCTGGGTGACCTTGGCCCAGCCCCTTCCTTTCAGTTAAAGCCACCTCAGGGCTGTTCTGAGGATCAGACAGGTGGGAGGAAGGTACATGCCATGGAGATGGCTACTCTTTCATCCCAAGAGGCAAATTCCAGTTTGGAGGAACTCCTGGTGGTGACATTCCAGTGTTTGGCCGGGCAGGATGCAAAGGAAGCAGGGCAAGGAATTTGGCCATAGAAGTTCTTACAGCCAGGAACCAAGCTGGAGGGCAAACATTTCAAACTTTTATATTGGGGGAGAGCAGGGGGAGACTGCAGAAAAGATTGGAAATTCTTATTTGGGGAAAGGTGTGTGGCCATCTGGGGAACCCAGGAGAGGTTGGATTGGGTCCCTGTCCTAAGCCTCGATGCCTCTGAAATAGGCCAAGGGGGAAAGAAAATCGTAAGTCAAACCAAACCATGAAGTCAAGGACAGCATGAAAACCTGCTCATCCGGCTGCAAACAAGCAAATGTGCAGCTGCATTACCTGAGAGGTGGCTTTCCCCCACATGGCTGTGCTTCCTGAGCCTCAGGACTCACCTCGTTGCGGCGGTTCTGGCGGATAAACTGCTGGGCGACGTCTGCAGGGAGCACATTCTCCAACAGGACACGGTTAAGGTTCTCCATGGTCTCAATCTCCTCACGTTCCTTCTTGAACTTCTTTTTCCAGAGAAAATCTAAGCGGCAGTAATACTCATTCTGGGATAGGGAGGGAGGGAGGGAGGGAATGGGAGAAGGTTAGCTCATGTTTTGGGTGTTTTCTGAGAAAGGGGTATTTTTATAATACAAAGGCACATAAGCAACCCTTTTCTGCCAGGATCTATCTGAATTTTCCCAACATATGCATTTGTCAAATGGTTAATCCAAACTAAAGACCTGGCAGATGCTTTCCCCTAAACCCACTTCCACTATTGGTGAACAGCTGAAGGAAAAGCCAAATCAAAAGACAGAAGGAAAAAAGAGAAACTCTCAAAGTCATCTGCTGCTCAAAAATATCTCAAGCTACCCTCAGGGTTCTCCCCACCTTTTTGCATGATGGAGGAAAACATGGCTTCTGGGAAGCCGGGGTGGGCATCTTGCAGCCCACTCAGGACTTCCTGTGTCAAATTCACTGTGGCTAAAAACATGCTGCTTTTTCTGGGAAGCTTTGCATGACTCATTGTTAAGATGAAGAACTGATTCTTCACTGCTGCTAACCGGTACTGCTGCAGCCACAATTTCAACAGTAGGAGAAGGGTATGACTCTCACTGGGTTTGGGTGTTGCCCATACCTTCTAAAGACCTCCATCTTCTCCTGTTCTGGTGTAGCTTTGGCAGGGCTCCATGGGTTTTGCTTATTTATTTGGAAGGTATCAAAAGTTGTGTGCATGAAGTGTGGCATCAATATTACAAAAGCAACTGTAGTGAGTGGGCTGGATGCACGCTCTTTGCTGACCTTCTAAGGGCCTGTGCTATCAGATTCTGAGTGGAAGGACATCAAGGAAGAGGTCACAGGAGGGCAGGAAGACCACACGGGCAGAAATCTTTGAAGATCCATCAAGGTTGATGCCTGCAGTTTCCCAGGTTGATCCTGAGAACAGACATGTCTTGGAAGAGGTGAGTGGGGCCCAGGAGAGCAGGGAGAGCTGCTGTGTTGCCCACTTCCTGATGAGGCTTCAGGAGAGGTGACCTACCCTGTTAGAAGGCTTGCGTAGGTCTCACCTTTCCACCAGCAGGAGCTAGACTGATGGCAGCTTCAATGAAAGGGAAGGACTGGGGACAAGTTTCTTGTTTGAGCTCATCACTCTTTACATGAGCAGAGGCTTATTGGCCAACTTGCTAGAGGGCTTTAGAGTCACATTGTCTTGTTATTTGAGAATGGCCATTCAAGATCTGCATTGTAATGACCTGCCTGACATTTTGGATCCTCGGGCAGGAAAGGAAGGGTCAGTCTCAGCAACACAGTCCATGCCTCTCATGTGTAGATCTATTAATCCAGTAGTGGGAAACTGTACAGCAAATCCAAGGAACATTTTGACTTGCCACAGGCCATATTTCTGCTGATGTTCTCTAGAATTCCCCCTAAAGGGAGGCCAAAAATGTCTACTTGTTGACTTGATCTATTTGGAATACACACACACACAGTTTCAAATTCTGAGATGAGGATTACAGAGTGGTGAAAAACTAAAGGGAATAGATAGATTAGATGTCAAACATGAACCACAAAAGCCAGTAAGTTCAGACTGGCTGCAGTTTGCCACCAAAATTCATCTGCAAACCACAAGAAAGCAGGAATTAGGTCAAATTTACTTTCTTCTTAAGTGAAATTTGACCTCATTACCATTCCAGGCATTTCATATCATTAAACTGTTTACTAATCTGTTGCAGTAAACAGTTCCCACTGCATGTTGCCAGGCCGAGAATCAGCCAATCTGGCCATGAAGTTAAATGTGGCATTAGGTACCATGTCATCTGTCCAGAATTACTAAGAGCAGAAGAGTGGGGTTTCAGTGGGACCATGCCAAAGAAGGGAAAGCACCGGCCTGTAACTTCCTTACCACAATCCCAATGAAGGATGGAAAGGGAACCCATCAACACTGCTGTTACCAGTTGCAGACAGATCTGGGATCTCACACAGCCCAGCGTAATATGTGAGCAGTTGTGTTGCACATGACACACCTGAACATCACTGCAGGGGTGTGGCACAGGGAGCTGAATTCTGCCCCTCTGATCTGTCTTGCAGAGGCTTTCCCTGGTCACAGGAAAACGTTGAAAGCAAGGATGCATCAGGGCCAAACCCGACAACTTAGGCACTATTTTTTCCACTGTGCTCAGTCTCAAAGATGAGAAATGATACCTAAGGAGAACGGAAACTTTCTCAGCCACTCAGCCTCCACAACCACATGAAACATGCTTTTGAAGCCAATCAGGCCAGGACTACAAACACTCAAACCACAAACAAAAGAGGAAGGGGAAAGAAAGCAGAGTGGTGGTACAAGTAACTAGCCTAAAAAGAGACAGGAAATGGCAGTGCCGTGTTTTGCACAGGAAAGCAACCATGACTGGTGCTTTCTGTGCTCGGGATGGGGGCACTGGCCAACTAGTCCTGTTCTTTCTTGCTACACCTGATATCAGCAACACAGTGCTGGGCCTCCACCCCAGTCCTCTTGCCCCTCAGTCCAACTATTCAATTCGTGTATTCCATCCATGTCCCACCTCTCCATCATCACCTCCACAAAAAAGGCACCCAAGGCTGCTAACAATAACTCCAGATTAAAGACAAACCCAGCTTTAAAAAGAAATAAATTAAAAGACCATTCGTATGCAACAAGAGTATTAACAGGCAGTCCCCCACCCCCAGCTAGAAACTCAGCAACAGACCAGCTGAAACCTGAATGAGGGTGTCTTTGCATGCTGGTGGTATTCTTTGTAAGCTGTCCAGAGAGTTTTAGTAATGGGATAGCAAATAAATATTTTAAATAAATAAATGACAATGGAGAAGATTTCCACCCAGCCACCTTCAGCAGGGAGTTGCACTTCCTTTTCCAGCAAGTCAACACAACAGCATCTCAGAAGGGAGAAGCTTTTTAAAATACAGGATAAGAAAAATGGGCTTTTTTGTCCAGTGGAAGGTCTTCCTAAGCTTGAAAACTCCTTTACCTGCCGGGCCAGAGCCAAGAGTGTGAAGAAGAAGACAAAGAACGAGAATGCACCCATCGTCTTGGGCTCCTTCAACACTCCGGGCCTGTGAGTAAGGGATTAAAAGAGAAGAGAGTTAGACCATCTCCATCATCTGCAGGGTCTCTACCTTAACCTAAAATAAGCACTTCTCTTAGTCTGCATTGTGGGGAAAAGGCAAACCGTCTTAGGTATGGCTGCAGTACCTAATGGAGGACATGCCCCACCTCTTGACCATTTCTACACATGAGGGCAGGAAGGCCCCATTTTTTCGCAAGGAAATGCATCCACTTTGAGTAGCACCTGGAGAGAAGTGGCCCATCTCTGGGTCACTGAATACTGTCCAGATCAAATTGTTATTGGGTTCAGAGGAAGAAAATGAGTGAGAGTGAGGAGGGGAAAGGACTTTGAAGTCCCAAGGTCTCCAGGTGAAGTTTTGCAGGCAAAGCATGAGCATCAGCCTGCTTTGGAAGGGATGGAAGGTTTTTCAGGAGGGTTGAAGAACAGATGTAAGGCCTGGTTCCCTGACCCTGTGAGGTGGCACTGGGAGAAGAAAATGGTCATCTGGAGAGGCTTTGCTGTTTGGGCCATCTTGCCCTCAAGCAGAAAAAGTCATCCTGAGGATGGAGTTGAAGCTTCCACTTGGGTTTTACTCTTTACATGGACAGATGCTTCTCCCACAACTAGAGCGAGTTTATCTATTGAGAGTTCCTACAGTCTTGTAATCTGTGGAGATCCAATAAAAGGACTGCACTTCAACAGGTTGTCTTGAGTTTGAACCCAGAAGGAAGGAGGAAAGTGTCCAACTCACTGCAGAGCTTCTCTGATCAGAACCACTGACCACTACTGCAAAATGTTTGAGAGATTCTCTTCTGTTTTGCACAAGTTGACCTTCTGCCTCTCTCACCATATCCCAGTGTGCTTACAGAAAAGAACCACCATCTTTGACATGTGACTACCAGCTCCAAGTGCAACTCATCAAAGTTCAGGGTTCAATTACCCAGCTTCCTGCTTAATATGTCTCACCCTGTTCTAAAGCCACCTAAGCTACTGATCCTCACTACAGCTACATGCCATACATAGCTTCATACACAAAATTCTAACTGATCCGCAATTCTAATTAAATTCAGTTTTATACATCTAATTCTGCTGTGTCCCATTCCAGCTCCTTTTCCTGTTCTTTCATTATCCAGTTTCTAAAATAATAACATTTTTTGCCTTTTCATCCAACAAATAAAATGTGCTTTGAGCATTTTGGTCACCCTTTCCCACACCATGTGTACCTTCAAAATAGCAGTCCATATGATCTAGAAATAGAAAATCTCTAGCATGAGAGAGATTCAGTAGCCTCCCCTTGGTTTTTGTTCTGACAAAGGCAAAGGGAGATGTGGATTCCTTGAGGAGTAGTTACCTGAGAGCTGTCTGGTTGGGGTACAGGCAGGAAACATAACAGTCTGAGAGCCATGAGTGGGTGTGAAGGAACAGCACATTGTACACGACGAGGCAGAGCATCAGCATGGTGAGCTTGAGCTCAAAGTTCATATGCAGGAAGAGAGAACATGAGAGGAAACCCAAGATGCAGCAGTAGATGTAATACTGGGGGGAGAAATAGGAATATACAGAAGAGAAACAATTAGATAGAAATCATAGTCCATTGTGGAAACACAGAAGGGAATCACCCAGGAGCCTCCATATTTACCGGCACACTGAAGAGAGAGTCAGAGCGAACAAACTCTTGCGTGACGTTCATACCCGCCATGGTGGAATTTGGAGGTCTTGAAAAGCAGGAGGTCTCTGGCATAAAGAACTAAGGAGCAGCAATCAGCAAGGGATAGAAGGGATCAGAAGAGAACATGGATTAGCTTAGCTTGTGCCATCTGCCAGGGGACCAAAGGCTGCTGGGGGCCTGAGGCAAGTCCTGTAATCTTGGAGTAACATTGATATGATGGGGGAGGCACAAAAAGCTCCCCCTCATTGCCCCCACCAGGAAGGGCTCTGAGACCCATGTGTTTCCTGCCCTAGAACTGGAGGAGGAAGGGAAAGTTCACTTTGACCTCAACATGGCTCAAACGAGCATGAGCCAACCATTGATATTCAGTGTGACAACCTCAGCAAGGGAAATCAGCATGACCTAAACAGGATACGCATGACCAGTCACTTTGATCTGGCATGCAGACAGGGATGGGCACAGCTGCCCATTTCCGGAGGACTCGATTTCTCATTTCCATATCTGTTTGCAACAGTTTCCCTAAAGCTCCCTCTACACACTGGCACAACGGCTCTCAACATGTGTATTTTTGTACGCACACTTTTTAATGTACGCAAATCCATAAGCAGGTTTCCCTAATGCAAAGCATTTTTGTATGCAATTTCTATTAAATGATGCACTGAAATGCAAAGCCAAGAGATTTCGTACCCATTCCTAATCAAAGAACTGATCTCCCTCTCCCACCATTTCCTTGTACTCCTCTTCCTTCTGTGTATCTCAGCTTCTTATTTTGTAAACCTGGCAACAAGACCTGCCTTTCTTTTTACTGAAGTGAACCGCTTTACTGTACAAGACCTCTCTGAAGATTGGGATACCAATGGAATAAATAAGGTGCTCCAACCTCACAAGGGGCCCACTCTTCAGACCAATAGTAACTCTAGACCAGTAGTGAGAGACCAATGGCCTTCAGAAGGACCACAAGACAGGCATGAAGCCCACCATCTTCCCTGAACATTGCCTCTCTATCCACCCTGCAACAGATATTTGGGGATGGCCTCTGATTGTGGAGGTTCTCGCTAGTTGTCTTGGTTCATCATCCACTAAAAGGGTATCCAGAATTATTGCTTTTCTTTCTGTCAGTCTGGCTGTGTATCCATCTTCACATGATCTTCCAATGTAGTCTGCATTCATCCATCCATCCATCCACCCACCCAATCTTCCCATATGCTAGGGGTGGTTCCAGAACTGGTCTTCCATAGTGTGGAGCTATTTATATCAGTGGGGTTTAAGTTTCTTATAAGTCTACTCAAGTCTAACTCTGAAGCCACCCCATTATTAGTAGTACAACTACTTCTCTCTTAATCAGTACTTTGCACCTGGTGAATACTAAAAACAATCAACACACCAAAAAATGCTCGTAGCACCCCACCACTGCACACAACTTTACAGACAAACACAGCATGTTAGAAGAGGCATTTCCTCTTTTCTTTCACATTTCCTTTCTTCTGTCATGGCAGGGATGTCCTGCCATGTCTGCATTATTTAAAGACAAAGGAAATGTGACTCTTCTGCAGAACTTTACCCTTATGCAAATTTACTTAACAAATTAGTCAGCTAAAACTTCTACAAGGCATCAACCACTCAGCTTAAAAAATGTCACTTCTTTCTTTAAAGAAAGTATCGTTGCAATTAATTAAATATATAGGTGTATATCCTGCCTTTTTTTCTTACAAAGATTAGAAAGTGGCTCACATCATTCTCTTCCTCCTGCTCTCAATCTTATCCCCAAAACAACAACCCTGCAAATTAGGTTGAGCTGAGAGACTGAGCCTGGCCCAAAGCCACCCAATTGGGTTGACTGACTGAGGATAAGAACCCAGGTTGTCTGAATCCCAGTCCAGCACTCTTCACCACTACACCACACTTAGGCTGCAACATTGCCTTCAAATTATTCTTTCTTTCTATAGAAAATTCAGATCACCTGGATGCCCCCCCACAAAAAAAAGAACCCAAACATTTGCGTCCTCCTCACTTTCATAGCAATACAACAGTGGAACCAGCTGCCCAGAGATGTGGTTGGATCTCCCATACCAGATACATTCAAAAAGAAACTGGACAGCCATCAGAGTGGGATGGTGTAACATGGTCTCCTGCAACAGCGGGGGGTTGGACCCAATGGCCTTCCTGGCCCTTCCAACTCTACTATTCTATGATTCTCATCTCCCATCACAACAACATTAGACCCTGCCTCCCTCAGCCAAGACTTGGAGCAAAGAATCTGGTTTGGGAGTGGAAATCCATCAGATTCCTCAGCTCAGCTCCCTGGAAAATGGTCCACTTTCACTCTTCCCTGGGCACACCTCACTCCAAGTGTTTGCATGAGTATCCAACAAGAAGACAGATCCAGCACATTTCAGCTTCCATGCATCTGCTGTGAGAGCTTTCCGTACTTGATGCAAAGAATTGCATACGTTGTGCAAAGAGGTGGCTAGCATTCCCAAGTGCTGGCCTCAGCTTGGATCACTTCCTGGCCAGGATCAAATGTGGTGGAAAAATCCAGCAAGCACAAGAGAGACAGATTCTGGCCTGATCTTTGCATCCCTAGCCCTAGCCGTGCCCTACCTGGCCCTTTATTGACTTACTAGGCCCCCAGATTTTTCCCCAACCTGGGTGTGTCCTCTGCTGGCAGTACAAGGAGACTTTTCTCAGCACTATTGCCAGGCAGGGGACAATTCCCAGGGACAATGGTAGCCCACTTCCACATGCTGCAATCCCCCACTCATTCCACCCCACATAACTTAGAAAAACAGTTTCAACTGGTGCAATGTCAGCCTTCCCCATGGTGGGGAAGTGACTCTGTTAGTCACTCTTTTTGGTCCACCTTCCACACTTGCTCACAAACCATTGGAAATTCATTGTCACTGCAGCTAAACAACTAGTTTGGAATGCTAGGAGAGCTAAAGTGGAAACTAATTAATAATTTTATTTTACTGGGTGTAATTTAAATGGAAATGAATGGGCTAGGTTAGCCTTTTTGGAAATGCAAGTAAATCCTTGCAATTTTGCATAGTTATATTTGCACATATTGGTATAAAATAGCATAGGTACATTTTACATAGGCTAGTTTCCTCTGTGTATATGGGTGTGGAAGCTGGACAGTGTAGAAAGCTGACGAAGAGGAAAATTGAAAATTTGAAACATGGTGCTGGAGAACTTTGTGAATTCCCTGACTCAACACAAAAATGGTCCTAGATCAAATCAAACCAGAACTTTCCTTAGAAGCAAAAATGACAAAATTGAGGCTGTTATACTTTGAACACATCATGAGAAGGCAAGACTGCCTGGAGAAGACCAGGCAATGAAAGAAAGTGAAAGAAAGAGGCAGAAGAAGAAAAGGGAGACCAAATAGGAGATGTATGGACTCCATAAAGGAAGCTACCACCTGGAAATTACTGAGCTGGGCAAGGCTGCCATGAAAGGTCACTTTGGAGGGCCTTCGTTCACAGGATCACCCTAAGTTGAAGACAACCTCATGGCACAAGATAGCAACCTTGATCCCCAGATCTTTTTCTTGCCTAGCAACGCTTCTGCTCCTCTGGCCTCCTGCCCTCCCATGGCCACATACCAGGTTCAGCACAGCCATGGTGAGGACTACCAGGATGGTGATGATGCCGAGTGAGACCCGTAGCCACGGCTGGGTGCAGACATTGGCCGAGATGGAGGGGACCCAGTATAAGGCCTTTGGGCCTTTCAGGAAACATTTCTGGTGCAAAGAAAGAGCACAGACATGAGATAAAAGCTTTGTGTTGAGCCAGGATCTTGGTTCTTGGGTCTTAAAAAATAAATTCCCTTTACCTCCCTCATCAATATAACCGTCAGCTTATTAAGAACTAGTAAAGCAACCTGGCTTTGCCCAGATTGAAATAGTCCTTAGATTGTTATAGCAACACTTTCAAGCTCTCAAGTTGTCGAGAGCTGAAGACTTGCACCTTTCTGTCTCAGCAAAAGGCATGACAGCTGGCAGTTCTAAGAAGGACCCCAGCTCTGGTGCACCTATACTTCTGAGAAACAGGCAGTTATATAACTCTCCCTCTTGCCCTGCTAACCTCCCGTAACTTTTAACTGTATGGACTGCAACACTATGTTCTAGTGATGAAAGACTGACCCTGGAGGCTAAAGACAGAATAGCAATTTTCAGCCAAATGGACTTATTAAAATTAAGTAACATGAACATGTTTAAAAATAACATTACCTGGAGGGTGAATGATAGGCACTCCTCCATGGACACTTTAGTATGCAGGGCAAGTTTCAGGGGGATAGGTTTTGCAGACTTGGTGCTATGGCACTGAAGTACAGATGGATGGAGCCATCTATACGTTCTGACTTATTATGATAGATTTCTGTTGCATCTCAAGAAGATACCCCCCAAGGCATAGCAAGGGGCATTCATTTTAATACTTTCATTATGCTTGTAAGATTTTTATCTCTCTATCATTTCTCCAGAACTTTGTCTTCACGTGGTTCTCTTCTCCCACACTATGTAGCCTCAGAATGACCCTGGGAAATTACAGTGGTAGAAGGTGACACACTCAAAGCCACTCACTTTCATGGCTGGCTGAGCAAGCTTCCTGGTCCAAGCAATGCAGCTCTTGCGCCACACGACCTGTGCCATTTAAAGTGGGCTTAATGGGCAAAGCAAGATGAATGCCTCCTCCACTTGTGCTGAAGCCACAAAATCTCTGTTGCTGTGCTCCTGGCATGGGTTACTTCCAACTGGAGGAAAACAGCCAAGGTCAAGACTTTGGCTTCCTCTGAACAGCATCCTTCCTTTGTGTAATCTCTCAGGCCATCCCTTCAACCAAATAAATTGAGACCTGTGCAATCTTCTGTGAGTGGAAGCAGCAGGAACAACCAACCAGCTTGAACCCCCAGACCACAGAGCTGGGTCATAGCCATACTCCCCATGGAGCCCTCAACAGAAACATCAAGAAATATAATGAACCTGAAGATGACTTACTGCCAGTTGACCAGCAAAGCAGGTGAGGAGGAGGAGGAAGAAGAGGAAGAAGGAAATTCCATAGGATATCCCCAAGGCTTCTGTCCTGGATGGAAAGGAGGAGATGAGGCATCAAATTGGCTTGTCTTTGCACCAATTGAATTCAAATTTTGCAAACGGAAGGCCCAGCTGGCATTTTCTAAGTGTCTTAGTTCTCAGATCCTGACCACCACTATTTGCACGCCCTGGTTCCATCCTTGTTACTGTTCCACGTTGCAGTGCATCTCACCACAGCAACCATTGCTTGAAACAAGGAACCATCAACTATCTTAGTCCAGAAGCCAGCTGACCATTTCACCCACTGGTTTTGCAACTAATGTCCTGTGAAAAATTATGGAGGCCCATCACTGCTCCAGTGGATCACATCTTGCCTGCTTCATCCATCAGAAATTTAGCTGCTTCCACAAAGTGTCTCTAAAGTAGAAGTCTTGAACGTCTTTCAGCTCCTGAGGGCTGGATCCCATGTCAGAAAATCCCTTAGGGGCTGCATTCTTGTGGTGGACAGGGTGAAGGGAAAGGGGATGGTGCCAAAATATTGAGATTATCCTCAGTGTTTCGCTTGAAGCATGTGTCAGCAAGCAAAGCTTAAGGAAGGCACTTCATACTTTTAGAATGAGGAAAACCTGCACAAAAGTCAAGGTGCCACCAAATGATGAGTGGTTTTGGGAAAGGGGGCTTGGGCAAGCCCCCTTGGAGACCCTAGGGAGCTGGATTTGGCCCTCAGGCTTCCTCCAAGGGCCAAAGTAGGCACTTGCTTTATAGATATGATGCACCTACATATCTTGTTTTTCTTTAATAAGTTCCATGTGCACAGGGGTTTTGGGGGGAGACGCTACGAGAGATTCAGTGCAGGGAAGTAAAGACGATCTCTCCCCTTGGCTTTCAACAATCAGAAGGAAAGTGACCCCACACCACCCCAAAGCTGGATCATTTAACCAAAAAAACTTCTTGTTACTATCAACAGGGGTTTATTTCCTAAGGATGCTAGCCACAAATTGGACTGGGGGATTTTTGTACTGGGGGAAAGATACAAACCTCACTTCCCCATGTGCTTAGTACCCAGAATACATTCTCCTCCACCCCTCTTGCAGAAGTAAAAAGAGTCATGGCTATCCATTAAAGCTAATGGCCAGTTTGGCCCAGTGTTCTTGATCTTGACAAGGAGTCTTTTCTTGCTTTCGGTCCAGCCTTGCTTAGATTAACAACCACCCCACCACTGCTACCTGCCACAGACCCCCTGCTCCTCCTTACTTATAAACCACGAGGATCTGGATGATGAAGTTGGAGGTGAAAACCAGGAAGGTACAGGCCGTGTAGTAGTTAAAAGATGGGAGTGCTGAGAGGCGGTACTAGGGAGTGCAAAGGAGAAAGGGAGAGAAAACCCAGTGAATATCCTGAACACAGACCAAACCCTAGCAGTATTTTCAAGAAAGAATAGTCATTTTAGGTATGTCATCTCCATGCAAGATCCCTGTTTAGTTTGCATAATTTTGATTGCCGTAGGGCCAGTCATGCATCATGCACAAAGCCAACCCGCCCCCTTCTGTGGTGTTCCTGAACTTCCCTTGCAGGATCTAAAATGCAGGAATCAGAGACAATTCTCTTTGAATAGTGAATCAGCAGAAATGGAAGACATATGCAGAAATATGGGGCATCCCTTAAAGGCAACTGGATGATCTGATGAACCAGCTATGCAGGCTGATGACGAGCTCTGTTAGCCCAGTTGAAAGCAGTCCACTGCTGCAAACAACAGTATTTAAACTCTGTGCTTCACCTTGCTCTGCTGGACCTGACAGATTCCTAGACTTTTGGTTGCACACCTGGACCACCCTCTGAGATACCACTGACTGGCCCAGAAAGCCTGGTATGACTGACTTGGCAGATTGAAATGGGGATTGCTTTGATCCTACACTGGAGCTCACATGAATAACTCTCAACTGGACTGGCTTCTCTCCTTGTTATTCCTGAGATAATCTCAACTTTGGCCTGGGCACTTGCTGACCTAGTTGGACAGCTTCCATGGTGGACATGGCCAGTCACAGGACACTCAAAAAGGTAATTTGTCTATCTAACTTCAAGGCAGGAGTAGGGATTGGGCTCCAAAACACAAAACCACTTTTTGGGGGGGGGGGGAATGGGAGGGATTTCTAAGAAAAGGATAAAGTCAATGCACAACAGACACTCATAGCATTTTTCTACCAGTCTGAACCCAAATCTTCTTTTTTACCATCTTCTGATGCCTGTGGCAATCACCACATCTTTTAATAGTGAGAATCAGAAAAAAGTCACTATTGTGTCAATGGGGTCTAACTGCTATTTTTTTTTTTTTAGCCATCAAAAAAAGGCCTTTTCTGTGCCAGTCCACCATCTGAGATGTGGCAGATGGATATATGAGTCAGACTGTCACAGCCTTTTTGGTGTTGGCACCTGGGCTGTGGAACTCAATACTGTACCCCGGGAAGAGAGACTGATCTTTTCAGAGATAACTCCAACAGTGCTGCTGGGATCACCTTGTCTGGCCAGTTCCTCAAACCCAGGAGAGAGTTTGCTTTGTAATTGTACTGCAGGTGTGCGCCTTCTCATTTTCACTTCACTTATTTTTTGCTGAGTACCTCTGTTTAAGTCTTTCAGAGCTTTTTTTTTTTTTTTTTGAGGTTTTGCCTGGCCTTATTCTGTGGTTTTGTGTTGTTTCCTTTTTCCTACTGACAGTGAACCACCTCAAAAGTCCCCATTCACAGGGGAGGCATTAATTTCTATCTCACTGGGCCTCTTAGCCATTATTCTGAGCTATGTAAGAACTATCCCTGGTGCTCCGTGGTAGAGAACTTATTGGTGGGGGTGGAGTTGGTACCACGGTTAGCTTCTATAGACCTTAGAAGAGGAGCTGTAAGGGATAAGAAACCCCATAGTGATCACTTGCTTTCTCTGCCCATTTGGGGTAACCAGTTCATCCATCCAGCTGACCCCCTTTCTCATAGATCGCATAGATGATAGATAGATAGATCTCAGAGATCTGCTTCCATACTTGGAGCATAAGCACCCTTCACCCTCGGGGAAAAAGCCCAATTGATCTACAGGTCACCTCCTTCTCAAGGGATTGCTCCTTGAAGTACAGTGTGATGCGATTCAGATCTTCTGACTTCTTCCATTGCCTACAAGGGGGACAAGAATCAGAAGAGAAGCTTCAGCTGATGCTATCTCTTAAAGCTTTCATGCACCACCCTCCCCTAACTAACTCAGACTTCCCTATGCAACACCCAAAGCAAAGGATGGGCAGTTGTTGCCAACCACCCAGGGAGTCCTGGCTATTGGGCAACATAGAAATCATATAAATAAAATAAATATAGATTTGATAAATAAGCAGTTTTTTGCTCTGCTGTCACCCTCCCAGCCTTATCTACATATGCTTCCTCCTCCCTGGTTCCTTGTCCCCATTTTATAAGAACAAGCACCATTAAATGTTTCCTGATTTTCAGGGTCAACTTATCCACATATTTGGCATGAGTCTCCTAGAGCCTTCACTCATCCAGGTCCAGTTTTCTTTCCTGAGCACTTAGGTGACAAATCTTACAGCGGGAAGTGTTGTCATTGCAGCCCGCTTGCTCAAGCAAGCACATGCTGACACCCCATGCTATGTACAGTCTGGCATTTCTAATTTATTGTTCTTTGGGATATGTATATTGTATTTATAGATTTTATTGTAAGCCGTCCAGAGACGAAAGTAATGGACATCTGAAAAATATCCTAAATTAATAAATAAATTTCACACAAGGTGATTGCACAGATATTTTCCTGCACTGTTAATGTCTATAAATCTGTTATTTTTTGCTAGTCTCTCTTTCAAAAGACCTTGTCCTGGGTTTCCAGTTTGTGGGGGGCAAGGGGTAGCCAGATAAGTGGATTCTGCATACAGTGCTATGGAGCCTCAAATATGATAAAATAAAGAGACACTGGGAATGCTGGAATCCAGTCCCCATCAGCCTTTCAGGATCTGGGCAGCTTCAGTGCTCCTCCTGCTGGCCAAGCACCAGAATAACAGCCCTGGGTGTTGGAGAATTACTACCAGACTATGCTGCCATGCCAGGTGAATGTCACCTGGGACCTCTGGGGAAAGAGCTATTTAAGAGGTGGCTCTTCCCTCCAGAAGCTGCCTCAGCAACACTGATTTCCAGTGTGCTGAAGCTCTCTGTGGTATCTGGATGCTGCTCCTACTACAAAGGTTTCTCTGCCCTTGTGCTATCTTCTTGGCTCCTGACCTCTGGCTTGTTTTGACTGCACTTTGCTATCTGGACTACACTTTGTTTGCTTCTCTGTTTGTTCCTGGTTTGACCTTGGCCAGCTCTGGATAATGACTTGGAACTGGCTGGTGACTAGGCTTTGGTAATATAGTTTACTGACTATATATCTGTTCAGCTTTCTGCTGCCCGTGTCCCAGACCTTACACAGAATTAGTCACATGGTCAGGGATTATGTAACTGTAGGGTTATCAGATCTTTGTAAACTCTGATCCATCCATGCTTTGATTTGTGGGTGCTTTTACTTCTATAGTCTGCTCACTGATAGAATTGGGTAGATTTTGCACAAATAAGTTTGCATGCATTTGTGCATATTTGCACTTCCAAAAAGCTACAGGTCCTCCCAAATGCATATCTGTGTGCTTTAGACTATCCAAAAACACTCATTTTCATTTGTTGCTTCTTTTTAAATGTCTAAATTTGCCCCAAATTAAATAAAATTAAAGAAGCAGCCAGGTGCAGAATCTGCAGGTTGGGTTCATTGAAACCCAGACTCATGTGAGCCCACTGCGGATTTCTCCCACATCCTTAGCTGTGGGTCAACATCTGGATGACCAGATGTTCCCCATGCTTGTAACAGAGGAAGAGCTAGCTGGTTCAGGCCATAGTTTTGGGTACAAGAATGAACTAACAGCACTGATTTCTCCAGCGAAATGTCTGCTCTTCCACAATTAACCTTCCCTCTTCTTTTGCCATTCCTTTCCCTCTCTATATGGAAGTTCTTCTGTTGCACAAAGCAACATGTTCCCTGCAGAGGTGGGAATTTTGCCAGGTGCAGTTCCTCCACTCCATCAATACAGAGCTATTACCAATGGCACACTGACATTTTCTCTCCACCACAATTTTTCTTCTGTTGCCTCTGGCCACCCCTGCTTTTTCCAGGGTCCCCATTCCCTCCCCGCCCATCTCCACCAGTGGTCCTCTCCTTCCCCCACCCACACCTTGCTGTCTTCACTACTTCCCTAACCAAAAACGCACTTCTGTGAGTTAAGCTGCTCGATCAGTTGGAAGAACTTCTCATCCACTCCTTCCAGGTCTTCATCCGGGCTCCTGGGGACACGGCCCCTAAAATACAATGCAAGAGGAGAACAGACCATTACAGCAGGGGTGGATAACCTGAGGCCTTCAGACCAACTTCATGAGGTCTTCAGCAGTGATGTGGTGGAAAGAGGACCTGCAGGAGCATGGCAATAGTACTTTTTCCTCTTAGGGTGCCTACATTGATTAGGTTCAGACAGCATGGCAACCTCTACTGGAGGGCTGAGTCTGGGTTGTTGCTGAAATGTGGCTTGTAGTGAGGTTGTATTCCAGCTGTGCTATGAAGCCATGGCTTAATCATGAAGAACCCACTGAGATAACCCGTGGTTTGTGAAGGGCTGCCATTTCAGCATAGCATGTTGTCTCAGCTGGGTTCAGACCAGGAATGAGTGAAGAATCCACTTTGGGGGCAGTGGCACCCATCTTTCATGTGTGCAACTTGCAGCCTTCTTTTGTGTCACACATGCTGTGGAAGAAGGTTGCTGGTTGCAGAACTGGGCTTCCACAAGTGTTCCTCTTAGCTCGACTGACTTCCTGTATGAGGACTGAGCACAAGAAGAAGTCCAACAGACAGAAGAGGACCAGATTCCAGGGAGGATTATGGCAACACTAGTACAGAGAAGATGATAACTTTTCTTTCAAGAAGGGAACAACAACACAAATTCAACCTATATTCCGTCCTTCCATGAGAGTAATTGAATCCAATTATTTCTGCCACTTCTCTTCTAATTCCTCATTTCCTCTGTCTTCAGTTGCAGTTTCAAAATAGCTGGAAATGAACATCCCCACCAATAATAGATTGTTCCCTGTTGTAATGCAAGGTTAAGGGGTGGCTTGATCATAAACAGGCCTTATTGACAATTAGTCTGACAAAAGACTTGCTCCTGATGAAGATAAAAGCTGCTGCATTGATACAGTTTAAAACAACAGTCTAACCTTTTGGACTTTCTCTGGGGTATGGTTATGGGGAGAGGTCATCAAACATTTTATGACTGCATTGCAGATCTGCAGACTATTTTGAAATGCTTTTTTCATGGAATTAATTCAGAATGCTGCCAAAGAGGATCTGTTCCTCCTCTGGATGCCAGCTGGTGGAAAGAAAGCTGAAGAGGGAAGGGGGACACAAAGAGGGGAACAGGTGCCCCTCCCAGCTGATTTTAGCTCTGGCTTTGCCGACAACACGTAGAGGGAACTCACTTCTCAGCAGAAAAGGGGTTGTTCCTATTTTGTTATTTTGTTAATATGGGAAATTAAAGAAACAAGGCCAGGGATATAAATCAAATGAGTACAATATAAATTTAAGTGCAAAAAAACCCAGATATATAGTTAAACCAAATAGCCTGCAGTTGGCACACCTGAATTAACAACTGGATTTTCAAAACTACATCCACACCCACCCTTTTGACCCAAAAGGAAAAAGGAAGAGACCTTAGGAAGTTCTTTGTTCTGTCCCACAATGGTTTAGAGATGCAATCTAGTATCCCCACCAGCCCCAGAGGTGGCAGAAACCTCTCTTTCCACTCCTCCAAAAAGGTTTGATCAATTCAGGATTACTTAGCCAGATGTCTTCCAACTTTCCACTACAACACTTTCTAAAGTCCATCATGGAGTTTGGAGACATCTGTTGTTCTGGTTTCAGTTGTTCCACTGAATTCCTGAAATAGGGAGTAGATGTGGGCAGGGCAGGGCTGGGATGAGGTTGAGAGTGTTGAACATTTTTCAGTCTAAAGGCCAAATTCAATTTCTGAGAAGGTCTCAGGAGCAGCATTTCAGAAATACCAAAATTTTTTCAGAAGATCCCTTGAAGCCCTTATTATCAGTAATTATGCTTTAGGAGAGACATATCTACCTTTGACCATGGAGAAAAAACTACACAAACTCCAGGAAAACAGCAAAGGAATGGTTCTAGGGCAGTGATGGCGAATCTTTTAGGAACTGAGTGCCCAAACTGCAACCCAAACCCATTTATTTATTGCAAAGTGCCAGCACTACAATAAAATTTGAAAATTGAGGTATTAGTTTAGAAAAAACAACTCACAGCCAGTCCAAGCAACTTTGTATTTATCCTTGACAGCTCACTGATGGGCCATGAAAAAGCTCAGACGAGTCGTGGCTAATAAGTTGTGGCTCGTAACGTCATTGCCTGGTGCTGCTACTCCTTTCCAAGCATGCGCATGGCCCCTATGTGCGCTATTATCTGATGCTCAGCTGCTGGAGTGATGCTGGGGTGATTTGGCCCACGTGCTGGTACAGAGGGCTCTGCATGTCCACTGTGGGACACATTCCATAGGGTCACCACCACTGCAGTGTCTCTACCCTGATGCACACCCCTAACCCTAATATAGGGTGAAAGTTCCATTCAAACGAGAAGGATTTTGAAAAAGCATTCCTTGAGTGTATTTTTCTGCACAGCTAAACATTTCTGCCCATTCTAAACACATTCCAACCACTAAAATCATGCCAGGAAGCCTGGTTCTCCCAACCCTAACCCTATCCTGCTGCACACCCCTAACCCTAATATAGGGTGAAAGTTCCATTCAAATGAGAAGGATTTTGAAAAAGCCTTACTTGAGTATATTTTTCTGCACAGCTAAACATTTCTGCCCATTCTAAACACATTCCAACCATCAAAATCATGCCAGGAAACCTGGTTCTCCCAACCCTAATCCAGTGGTGGTGAATCTTTTAGAGACCAAGTGCCCAAACTGCAACCCAAAACCCACTTATTTACTGCAAAATGTCAATACTGCTATAAAAACTGAAAACTGAGGTTTCAGTTTAGGAAAAAACTCACAGCCAGTCCAAGCAAATCTCTCTCTCTCTCTCTCTCTCCTTGGCAGCTCACTGACCGGCCATGTGAAAGCTTGGACAAGTCACGGCTAATGAGTTGTGGCTCGTGGCATTACCGCCTGATGCTGCTACCCATTTTCCAAGCATGTGCATGGCCCCTGTGTGTTCTGGCATCTGTTGCTCAGCTGCTGGGCGATGCTGGGGCGACTTGGCTTGGATGCCGACAGAGAGGGCTCTGCATGCCCGCTGTGACACGTGTGCCATAGTTTTGCCACCACTGTTCTAGGGTAAAGAACATGTGTTCTTCTCAAGTTCCCAGGCAGGACAGCTTTGACCCACAGCCATCGGTGTCAACACCCTTGATTGAGATGTTCTGGGCCTTGTGGTGTGGAGGTGACACATGACCTAGTTTGCCCTCTGAACCTCTGGAATTATAATAGATTCCATGTAGTTCTCCTTCTAAACTGGGGTCACTGGACTCCAGTGCCTATAGGGTGCTGCATTCATTCCAGACTTCCATCTGAACTTTCAAAGTGCTATCAATGTTTCCCAATGTCACCCTCCACTAGCAGGTTCAGCACCACCGACAGCTCTTTAAAAGTTCACACTGCCACTCACCCTAAATACACTGCCCCATTCACCGTGACACCAATTGCCCCATTGCTCTGCCCCATTGGACTGCAAATTTATTGAGATGCACACAGTTTCATCACCCAGAACCTCCAAAGGTCCGTACAGCATCATGACCATCTTCTGCAAGACAGATGAACTCTCACATGCGCTTGCTGCATGTTTGCTGATCAAGCAGCCTGTTTGGGCTTTGTCCTTCCCACCTTGCTCCCTATGAACACAACAACTCAGGCTTACCGCTCCATGCTCTTCTGCTGGTTCAAAGACCCCAGAGAGATCTCCTACAAGAAAACAGAAAAGGGGACCACTGGGGTGTGAACAGGTTGCAACTGCATTGATAAAGCAACAGGATATTGGGCAATGGGGTCACACCGACAACATAGTATCCTCTTTTCAAAGTCATCTCAACTTGCTTGGGTTTTGCTCAGAATTCTTTGTTGCATTTTTTTTTCTTTTTTCTGGGCAAGGACATAGTGCTTTTTAAGAACCCAGGAACATCCCTCGTTAAATTATTGTATTTGCCCATTTTTGTTGACTATTCAACAGTAGGATCATTCCAATTCATGTTGCTATTGTCATTGAGTTCTTTCCCCAAAACCTGGTCACTGCTTAGGCGGTCTTAGTCCAGGATGCTTCTGGTATGCTGATGTGCTCCTATACTATAAGAGGGCAACATGAAGATATGCCCCAAGAACTCTCATTTTCCCCTGGATAGGGACAATAGCAAAAGTCCCTCCCTCCCACACACTCAGATTACGGAAATAATTGAAACAGCCCAAGAACAGCTGAGCCCGTAATACAGGGACAGACAACCTGTTCCACTCCCCCAGATTTGGCCCACAACTCCCATCATCCTTGTTCATTGGGCAAGCTGCCTGGGGCACATTGGTTCTGAAGCCTGGGTGGGCCATGGAGCTGCCACAAACCCCTGTAGTGAATAACCTTCCCCCATGTTTAGTCAAAGAATCTCCCCCTTTTAGATCTCCTAAAACACCAGCTAAGGGGGTCACCGGAAAAGGCATGGAACAAATCCAAGCACTGCAACCACACGTTTCATCCAGTGGTCTGAGGCTGTAGGGTCCCCAGAGCAGAGTCCATGGGCACCTCTAATGATGCCCACAAAAATCTCTCTGCATGGCTTCTTCCAAAACAAGTGTTTGAATAGAAACCTTGGGGAAAGTACTCTCCTCTTTCCCTCCTTTTCTAGCCTCTAGCCCCAGTCTTCCTGTTCCTTCCGCTCCACTCCATCCAAAGCTGTAGAATTGCCTATTGTCTCTCTCTGTGACTGTTCGGCCCAGTGTTTCCTGCCTCCTGACCTCTAGTCTTGCTCTCCCCTTCTCTCCTTCCCCTCATTTTTGACTAGCCATGCTCCCACGGCAGCCCCTGCTGGCTACCCACATCCTCCATAGGAGCCATTTTTCAGCAGTGTCTGCAGCAGTTTTTCATGTTTTCAAAAGGGGCTGTGAGTCCAAAAATACTGGGTACCCCGATTAGATGGAGCCCCACTGTGGTTTACCCCAGCAGATCCTGAATAACAGTGACTCTCTGGAAAATTGCTGTTGCCGTGTTGTTTTTCTACAGTGCCTGCTAACATTTGACGGAATATGGCCATGTTTCCTGCCTCAGCAGTAGTCACCGGCCCTCTTTCCTTTCCACTGCAAGGCCTCCACCCCACTTCCTGAAATACACCTAGCTGAGAGATACTGGTATTTTAAACCAGGACACTCCGTAAGCAAAGCTATGGGTTCCACCTCTCAGTTCCACCCCCTCTTTGCTCCATGATAAGCTCAAAATCTCTCTGCTCATTGCTCGATCTCATCTGAATGCACCAATATTTGCATACAGGTGTGCTCTGCAAAAGTATCTGGTATGGAGGAGGCCTATTTCCTGAATATGGGTTCTACCCTGAGCAGAATTTACACTGGATCTGCTCCTATCTCATTCCCATCCATCTGCAACAGGGGCATCCATCTGACTTGCAAGAGCTCCACCTGCTGGACATACCGAGTGGTTGTTCCGGACAAACCCTGCTGGCTCTGTAGGAAGGGCATCCAGCTGCTTGAGGTTGGCAAAGGGTTTGGCAGCTCCCCAGGACTCCAGGTAGCGTGTCATCCGGACTGATGCCCTCATCTTGTCGCCCTCACCTGGCACAGGTGAAAGGGTGTTCTTGGAGCTCTCTTCTTCAGCCTAAAGGCAATAAGAACTGGGTTTGCAAGGAAGACCCATGAGGTACAAATCCCCACAAAACAGCCACCATCTCCCGGACTCTGGACTGCATGGATTCTGCAACGCCACAGTCACAGCTGACAAAGGCAGAAGAAAACATCCAAAGAAACCTGTCTTGCTTTGCTGCAAATTTAAGTCCTTATGACTGTGGAAAGAGACTCCAAGGTTTGTGAAGTTGCATAGGAAGTTCCCTTATAGAAGAGGAGACTATTTATCTGTCTACCCTACTATTTCTGATCCAGCCATCCCAAGATGATTCAATCTAGATAATTTAAAGGACAATATCCCTCACCCCTGACTATTGGTCAGGCTGGCCAGGACTGTTTTGAACTTCAATACAAAACATCTGAACAGCACCAGGTTAGGGAAGGTGGTCCTGTCTGATAGCAGTGGTTCTCCAGCAGACTCTGAAGATGAGCATCAGGACCTTCTGTGCCCACAGCTGGCCATATGACTTACTCTGAATAGTCATCATATGGGGTGAGGGCAGGGGGGCCTCATGGTAATAATTACAGAGTTCCTCACCCTCGGATCAACAACCAGAAAGGTTTTGATGCGGTTCTCTCTCAGGTACGAATCACGTGGCCAGCAACACACTTCTTCCACTTCATACACTTTGCCCAGGTGTGACAAGGTGGCCTCTGTGATGTGAACCCTCCTGAAAGGAAAGGAATTGACATGACTCTCTCCTGCACACCATAGATGAGCTCAACACAACACAGCAGTGCAGTTGTGGGATCCTTCTGTGCATTGCCATTGGTTCCCTAGAGCGACTTGTGGACTTCTGACCTCTCTCACACATAGAGCATCGCCCACAAAAACCCCTGGAGGTCACCACACACTTAGGCTCCCTCTGGCCAGTAGAAAATGGCAAAATGGCAAACAGGTTCTGCTCACCATACAGTGACCATGAATCCTGCAGGCGCATGCTCCAGAAATTCCTCTCCCCTGTCTCTTGGTTCCAGGGATGGTGGAGGACAGGAGAGCCTGGCGGAATGTTGTCCATGGGGTCATGATGGGTTGGACACGACTTTGCGACTACACTATCTCTTGAAAGCAACACTGTCCACATATTTCCATGGGTCAGTGCCCACTGGAATTTGTCGAGGGAGCTGCTCATTATTTTTTTAAGATATTTATTTGTTTGTATGTTTGTTAGAGTTATAGCCTGCTTTTTCCTTACAATGAACTTAAAGCACCTTGCATCATTCCCCTCCTCCTGCTCTCCATCATATCCCCACAGCAACAACTCTGTGAACTGAGTCTGTGATGGGCCCAGTTGGTTCCATGGTTGAACAGGAACTAGAACCCAGGTCACCTGAGTCCCAGTCTTGTGCTCTTAACCACAACACCACAATGGTACCTAAATAAATATGGACATCTGGAGAGTCAGTGTGGCATGATGGTCAGAGTATTGGACTGGGATCCAGGAGATCCTATCCTGTTGTCATGAGAATAAAATGGAATATGGAAGGATTGTGTAAGCCAGCTTGAGTCCCTCACCAGAGGGGGGAAAGTGGGATAGAAATGTAGTTTAATGTAACGGAGCTGATAACAGCGATGGAAAACTGATAGCCGATTACATTAGAACATCCCAACTTAACACTACTAAGAACAGTAAGGTGCCAAATGGACCATATTTTCATTGCCACTTTCTTGTGCCAGGTAAACAGGACCAAGGTCTGGAAAGGTTCCAGGTTCCAGGTTCTACTCCTGTCTGGACAGAGTCTCCCAAACTCCATCCCTAGCCTAATATTCTCCATCATTCAATCCACTAGATTCCAAAAGGCACCACCCCTGCACCAGCAATCCCAGCTAGACCCTTCCCCTAATGTGCTACTCTCCATCCACACCTACTGAATCTCAAATAGCATTTGAATCTGTATTTTTCCAGTTCTATCCTGGCTCAGCCTAGAGTCCCCAGTAAGGTCTTCCAGTGGCTGGACAGGTTTCAGAACCATAGAAAGCTCCTTAAAGTTGAGACTAAAACCTGGCATGACTACAGCCCACCTTGATGACACCAGAACCAGCAGCTTCCACTGGGATCTACACTCTGCCCTGGAATCAGATGACTTCCAGAATCCACCAAGATCTGCTTTAGCTTTCCCTGCCTTCACTCTACAGCTCAGCAGCACATTCCATCTTCCACACTAATGACCTCCTCATTAGAAGCACACGGACATCTATTCTGTTGTTGTCGCTACTGGTGCTGCTGCAATGCCTCCCCAGGCCACTAGAAGGCAGCATTCAAAAACCCAAAGAAGAAGCCACACTTTCTCCTAGCCCATGTGGGAGTGCCCCTGCTCACCGTCTCCCTTCTCTCACCCTGGCACGCCTCCGGCTTCCATGTGGTTGGCTAGTGTCACATCATCTGACCACACATCATATTGCCATTTCTGGAGTCCAATCACCCCACACAGGACGTTTCCCGAATGGACTCCAACTCTCATGTTGATGTCCACCCCCGTGGCATCACGCAGCTTCCTAGGCAGGGAAAATAGCTCTGTGTTACTAACATATACAATTCATATTCAAAAGGGAATTGTAAACTTATATCTATGTTTACATAACTATATATTACCCTACATTTAACCCCAGGGCCTTCCTCCAAGCACCAGCTCTGAGGGAACCTCAGAGAGTGACAAGGGGGAGGGCTTTCTCTATTGTCCCATCAATGGAACAACCTCCCCACTGCAGCTTCCCTGGCACCAAATTTATTACCTCTTTAGCCCCAGGTAAGCAGCCCTTTATGCTGAGGCTTTTTAAAGTCTTACTTGGACACCCAGTGGCTTGAGGGGATTGTGCATCCCAGATGTTTTACAAAGTCAGTTTTTGTTATTGTTTGGTTTAGCTATTTTAAACTTTCTATTTTTCTCCCGATTTTTGGTATTTTAATGCATTGTATTGGCCGTTTTATAAATTGTTGTAAACTGTGCAGAAAGCTTCAGCTGTTGGGCAGTCGGTTTTCTACTGTCAACAGAAATGAACATAACAAATATCTAAGCACAAGAAAGGCACTCTTCCATGACATATCCAAAAACAGCGAGTAACACTCTGAGAGAGCAGTTCTATCATCCTTGAATGACTGTCCTAAGGACCACTGTATGGGTGGAAGACCCCTTCAAAGGTTGGAAACTGCACTGACCTTGGAAAGGGGAGTTGGAGATCCAGCACCAAGTTCTTACAGCTAGTGTGGAGAACAGTGTGCTGACTGCCTCCCCAAGTTTGGAAAAATCAACCTCGGAGGAGAAGAGGGAAGTGTGGGTGTTCTGCTGGGCAGTGGGAGAGGAAACCAGAAAGGCCAGGTTAGAGGATCCTGGTGCACCTCCAGCCTCATTTCCTTTGACTCCAGAGCACCCTCAAAAGAAGCATTGAAAAGGTCGTCAAAGGCCAGAGGGCAGGCCAGAGAAGATGGCCTCCTCTGGTATTCCCTGCCTTGCCCATCTTAACCTTGCAAAGCATAAGAATCCTAGAAACTTTTGAGTTTGGGGGCTTCTGAGAAGTCCATGGAATCACATCCCAACCATCTTATGTAAGAAGCTCAGCTTGGATTAAAAAGTGTCATACTTTACCATGGAAATAAACTGACTAAAACACCTCACTGACTAACAGAAGCCTTTTCTGGCTTCTGTCAAGAATCAGACACCAGACAGAAAACATTTTGCTGCCTAAGGCAGGACAACAAAAATGTGTGTGTTTGTGTGTCCCTTCCTGAAAGCCAAGGTGCAAAGTGCCCAAGGCTGGTTAAATGCTTTGGCACATAAATTAGAAGATTCCACAACCAGCTCTCCCACTCCTTGGTAGAAATGGCGGTAGTAGAAATAAAGAAAACATCCAGACAATCGGCTGCCCTTCCAATACAACTGGCCTTGTATAGAGAAAGGGGGACTATAAATTGCAAATGCTACCTCTGTAGTCCTTAAGGAATAGGTGACTCCTGCAGAAGAAAGTAGCCCTTTAATTGTCCTTCACCCAAGCTCTTAAGGCTTTCAATTTAAGAAATACAAGAAATAGCACATCTAATTTACCCCCAGTGGGACCCAAGATAGTTTATCAAAATCCCTTTAAGCTCTCCCCACATAACCTCTGGAAAGACATTACTCAAGGAAGTGGGTGGGTGGGTGGAGAACAGATCTTCAGTGATACACACAGGGCTGGCCCAAGACATTTTGATGCCTTCAGCAAAAAGACAAGAGAGAGGGCCGCTTCACCCATCCCATATACAGAAATGGGCAGATAAATCATAATTCAGCACAGATGATGGGATGGCATCTTTCACACCGCTAGAGGTCAGCAGACTGAGGCATTTCCCCACTGCCCTTACTGCCCACCACCTGAGGCAACTGCCTCACTTGACCTCATGGTAGGACCATCCCTGGACAGCCATGCCAAACCAGTGCATCCCATGCCACAGCTGTTCCCATCGCACATCCGTTGCACACATTTGGCCACCAGTGCAGCGCCACAAGCATGGTGGTTGGATTGCAGGGAAAGGCATATGAGGTGTGACTGAGGGAAATGGGTCTTTTCAGCCTGGAGAAGAGGAGACTCCGAGGGGATCTGTTGACAACATACAGGTATGTGAGGGGGTGTTACATGGAGATGGGTAGAGACCTGTTCTCCCCTGCAGAGGAGGCCAGGATGCACTCCAACATTGCCAAGCTCAAGGAATCAAGGTTCAATTTGGATGCCAGGAAGTACTTCCTGACAGTTAGGACCCCGAGGGTATGGAATGGGCTTCCATGGGAGGTGGTTGAGACCCTATCAGTGAGGGTGTTCAAGGATAGACTGGACATGCACATGGTAGGCATGTCGTGAACAGAGCCAGCTGGAGCCGGGGGGTCAGACTAGATGGCCTGGGAGCCCCCTTCAGACTCGCTCTGTTTCTATGTTTCTAATGCCTACCACCTGAGGCAGCCGCCTCACTTGACCTCATGGCAGGACCATCCCCAGATGACCATGTCAAAGCAGTGCATCCCATGCCACCACTGTTCCTATTGCACATCCTTTGCACACTGGACAGAAACCCTCCATAGCATCTCCAGTCCTGTCCTCTACTCACTTGATGGCTTGGCACATGTCAAGGCCCATCTTGACGCAGTTTCGGGCATGGTTGGGCAGTGACACAGGCAGCCCAGAGACGCAGTAGTAGCAGTCGCCCAAGATCTTGATCCTCATGCACTCGTTATCCTAGGACGGAAGAGACAGGTTTGCCACCCTGGGCAATAAGTTGGTCTTCATGGCCACAGGTGCCTTGAGAGCCACCCAGATGGGTACCATCTCAGCTCAGAGGGATGAGCAAGTCAACTTGCATAGACCCGTATTGCTACTCATCCTCTTTCTCAGCGCTGCTGCCCCTGGCATTCTTGACTGGCATCTCACCAAGTTGCCAGATGTGCCCACGGCTGAAAAGTTTATTTATCCTGCTAGAGTGCACCCATATAAATCAATAGGGTGTCAATGAGTCTTGGCAAACTTAAACTCCATTAATTTCAGTGGGTCAACACTGAGTATGAATAATCCTGAACAAAATACTGTCTGTTTCATTGCATCCATCCTTCCTCTCAAGAGTTCGGGACAGCATATATGGTCTTCATCCTCACAACAGCCCTATAAGGTAGGTCAGAGATGCCAACTCTCACCCAAAGTTACCCACTAACCTCAAACTTTGGACTCCCCATTCCAAGACTAGTGCACAAATTGATGGATTAACTGATTGACTGGCTGATTGCTATGGTCCTACCTCATTTATATGTTATTCAAGGCAACATGCCTAATTCTTTCTGCCTATTTTAGCCTCATAAGAAAGAGACTGAGTGTCCCAGAGTCACTCAAGAAACACTGGGGTGGAGCACTGATTTGAACCATGGTCCTGGGAAGGAAGGAGTTTGCAGTCAGGCACACATGGAGGGCATTGGATTGGAGGAAGTGGCTCTTTCCATGGCATCTCCCAACTCTAAAGGTATCAACAGCACCTGGACTTCCATTCACGACCTGCTGCAATTCCACCCCCATATGCTGAGATGGTACCTTTGGGGAAAGGGGACCATTTAAGAACAAGCACTTTAAAAATGCTTGAATATAAGTCCCATACATTCAGCCTTCATTCATTTTGTTGGGTCAGCTGGTTTGGTTCAGGAGATTTCAAGGCTGCCCTTCAGCAAAGCTACCAGTATGGTATACAATAAGAATTTTTAAAGACACTACTAACTTTATTGGGGTGGGAGGCTGATATATCCCTGCCTCCATGAGCAGCCTCCTTGGCACACCTGGGGTACAGCTCAGCTCAGGCAAACAGTTCTCTAAAGGAACTGAAATTCCTAAGATCAGTCGTAAGTTAGGTATTTTGGGAAGAGATAGACCTCATCCCCATGTTAAAAGACTCCAGCATGGATGAATTTCCCAGCAGGCCTCCCTGTCATGGTGGCAACAGACCTTCTGCATAATCAGGTTGTGATGTCACAATTATGTGCGGACCCAGACAGGATGCATTATTGGAGTGGCTGATGAGTCACCTGCAAACCTAAAATGGCACCTGGTTCCAGGTGGCATGGCTTGGTTCACACAGAGCTCCAAGCCACTGAGGCCAGGAGAAGACTTCATGTGGGCATCATTCCTAGAGGCTTCTCGCTATGTGCAAAGCACCCCACCCTGCCTTGGCTCACCTTGGCAATCTGATCGAACTTGCCGAAGAGTTCATTGAGCATAAGGACCAGCTCCTTGGGGGAGCATTCGCTGGCCAAGAGTGTGAACCCCACAATGTCTGCGTACAGGATGCTGAAAGGTGGAGGATGAGAGAGAGAGAGAACAACTGAGTGAATTTGTTGTTTATGGGGAGCCTCCAAAGCCCTCCATCCCTAGCCCTGAGCCTCTGAAACTCAGCCAGATAATCTTGCAGTACCTGACGTTCTGGTGCCGTTTGACATAGAGGTTATGGAAATTGTTGGCGCTCTCATGCCGACGCTGTGCCTGGCCTCCATCCCGCAGCCGCTCAATGATCTCAGCCTTCATCTCCAAGGCAATGTAGGCAGGAAGGATGGACAGGAGCAGATGTTCCTACAGTTATCAGTCACACGGGGGGGAAGGTGTGGAGGAGAGAAAAATACCACTGGGTGAATCTGAAAGCGCCTTCCAGGACTGGATAAACTAATGCCTTGGGATGCGTGAGGAATCCATCTCAGTTCATTTTCCATTCACTTTTGTACAGTTTGGATCTTTTGGACTGAATACAGGCTCAGAGGCAAAGTCCAGTCAAAATCAGCATACTCTGGGTTTGCAGTGCAGTTCACAGTCCAAAAAAAAAGGTGTTTGGTAGCATTCTTTTGAAAAATGTGCATGTAAAAATAGTTGGTGTGGAATAGCAGTTAAGAGACCAGGACAGGAACTCCAGTGACCTGGGTTCTAGTCCCCACTCCACCATGGAGGCAACTGGGTGATTTGGGGCCATTCACAAACTCTCAGCACAACTTACCCCTCTGGGTTGTTATCGTGGGGAAAAGATTGAGAGCAGCAGGAGGAGAATGATGTAAGCTGCTCTGAGTTCTTAAAAAAAGAAAAAGGCCGGGTATGAATTGAATAAATAAATAAATACATACATACATACTTGAAAGTGCACAAATATAAATCAGGGGGAGAACATGCATATTTTTCAGACATGTGAACATAGGTACATATAGAAAAAATGCACATGAAAATATGCGTGGTTATTCATGAAAAAAGGAAAACAGAACAGAACAAAACAAAACTCGTGATTGGATACAGACACAAGTCAGAATGAGTGTCTGTAGGAAATTGGGAGAACTATGAGAAGCTGGATTCACGCATCCCTACTAATTCCTTACCAGCTTCAGCAAGAAGTGATTTAATGCTGAGCTGTCTTGACTCTACAATAAGCTGGTAGTGAACCTTGAAGCTTCCATTAAAGGGAGAGGGAGAGGGAGAAGAGTGTGTCCAAGCTTTTCCCTGAATATCCAGAGAAAGATCCATCCTCCAGCCAGGCAGTTCTCACTGTGTAAATGAAAAACGCATATCAGAGGGACCTGATCCATAGGAACATTGGACACTGCCTTACACCAAGTTATATTTTTGACTCAATAACTGCTGGTGTCTCCATAGGAGTTTTAGACAGAGAACCTACCCGGAGGCACCATGGATGGAACTTGAGACCTTTGGAACACAAAGGATGTGTTCAGCCACCCTCTGTACTTCTTCTCACACTCACCTGGTGCCGCTTTTCTGACTCCAGCTTGACTCGGGACTGGATGAGGTTGAAAGTCTCATGAAAGGTCTCTCCCAAGGCCACCTCCATCAGGTGCTTGTGGTAAGCACCCACCAAGTTGCCACAGACAAAGATGACAAGGTTGGCCAAGAGCTGGAAGCAGACAAAGGGTGCTGAATGAGAACAAGTTGGGAGATGATGGTACCATGATACAGGGCAGGTAGAAGAAAGCCCAGGATGGAATGCCACCTGGGTGTACTGGCCAGTGGTACCAGCAATTCTATTAAAACACTTGGGTGTTCACCACAGCCCCACGGTTCTAGATTGAGTGGGCTTCCATTCCAGGAGGGTAGCTTTCACTGAATATGAGGAGAAATGTCTTTACAGGAAGAGAAGTTCCATAAGGGGAGCAGTTTCCTACAGTGGGAGGTGTTGAAGTTCTTTATACCCAAAATCTGGCTTCCACTTTGGCCCACATTCCAGTGACAAGTAAGGCTGAAGAGAAAAGGGGGAGAGCCAAAATACCCACCAATGCCAACATATTGGGTTTAGGGTGCTTACTGCTGCTGGCTAAGCCTTATGAGAAGAGTTTCTGCCATTTAGAATAGGTTAGGACTGGAATGCATGAAAGTGGGGAACTATCAAATGATCAGTAGTCAGGACAGGTTCTGAGACCTTCTGCGGAATCCCACAGGGTCAGATTTGCTCTTCAGCAGAGTCAGATTTGATCTCCAGCTTTGAGGATCTCATCCCCAATATGGAAGGTTTTCCAGTTCAAACAGAGGCTTGGCAACTGTCTGCTTGGGATGCTCCATATGAAGATTTCCTGGAAGGATCAGGGGGTTGGATGAAATGACCTACATAGACCCCTTCTATGCCAACACTTGGACAGATGATGAAAACAAGAGGTATAGCAAGAAATGGATAGATGGATGGGCAAGTGGGTGGGTGGGTAGGCAGATAGAGAAGTGGACTGGAGGAAGATGGAAATGGTGGCAGAATGTATGGACGAAGAAGTGGAGAACTGCAAAATGGACAGAACTGACAGGCAAAGGACAGAGGGATGACAAAGCAGGATGGCAAACTGACAGACAAAGTGGATAAGAAGGTGGAAATGTCGTATGCCAAGCTCATGAGTGGCATCATGAAGGGAAGGATGGATCCAAGGCTCACACAGCTTAGGGAGCTCGATCTTTGAAGAAGCATCTCCTTCCATACATACTTGCCTGCCTCCTAAGATCTGGATCGGAGGTCCTTCTTTGGGAACCCTCTTTGAAGGAGTTTGAAAGAGTGACTACCTGGAGAAGAGCCTTCTCTGTGGTGGTACCCCAGCCATGGCACATGTTCCCCAGAGAGGTGTGCCTGTCGCCGAAGCTTTTTTCGTTTTGGAGCCAGGCCAAAACCTTTTTATTTTCCCATTATTTTAAATGCTAATATTGTTTTAAGCTTGGGTGTTATTTATTGTAATATCTTGGTGCTGTGTCTTATTTTATTTTATTGCATTACTGCCCTGAGACATAGTGAAGGGTGGGATATAAAAGCTTTAAATGAATAACTAACTAAATAAATAAGGAGTTGATGGCACACTGCCACATGGCACCCAATGCTAAAGCGCCTGTCAAGATGTTGGCCACTGCTCTAATCCTTCTGTACATGCACTTTCTGAATGCGACTGGACCTCGGTCATTCCTGAGGCGTGTATAAATGGGGGCTGTCTAGGCCTATAAGTGCAATCAATACTGCCTGCAGATAAAGGAAGTAAAACCTAGGAGAGCACAAGGAGCTAAAGATGCGACAGACTGGTTGGTCCAAGGATGGAGAGAAGGCACATCTGTGTGGAAGTGTGCATCTCCCAGTAGTCAAGTTGTGTTGGGGAAAGTGGGTTAGACTTACCTGCACAGCCAAATCCATCTGTGAGCCATGCCCCATTGAGAGGTAGACAGTCAGGACTATGATGTGTGAGAGAGAGGAGATCATGCCAGCCGCCACTGCGTCTTTCATGCCAACAGGCAACATGGTGTAGACAATGAAGATGATGAAGAGGAAGAAGGAGACCTTGGAAGAAAGGACTTGGCATCAGTCATCCTTCCAGCTGCAGTCACATTAGGGGAATAATTTCCATTGTATGGGGAAGGAAGTCCAAGTCTGGCAATTTGCTGGGGAATTTACCCACCGCATTCCTTCTAATTTTGGAACAAGCATCACAAGATCCACCAGGCCAATTAAAACCATCAGACTTTCCAAGCTCTCAGTTCTTCCACTATGGCCTGGTTCTTCCATAGACAGCATCCATCTCTAAACCCCGCCTCCCCAATGAAGAATGGACTCATTCGGTTAGATTTCTCCATGTGCAAAGAAAGTGGATATTTCTCCTTGTGTGCTTTCATTCACACCAACAGTTCCTGTCCTCAGTGGTCCCTCAATTAACCTTTTCATTTTAAAAAATATCCTGCTGCTACTCTCCTAGGATTGTACCACTTTAAGGGGTACATGGTAGTTGACATGAATAGATGCTTCTCTGGGGTTAAACAATACGGAAAGGCCTATATACAGCAAACTACACATTCAAGAGAACCCTTAAACGCCATTTTGAACCACAGAGTGGAACAGCTTTCCATCACATGAGCCTGCCTCCCCACATTCTGCATTCTGAAGTGGCACAGTCCGCATGCGGCTGGCATCAGCCCTTGGGATCCTTGGATGGATGCTAACATGTCCTGGAACCTCCTCACCAGGTGGCAGGTAAAGATAAGCCGGAATTTAGAATTTTCTGCTATTTAAATTCCCTAGAGCCCTAACACAGTTTATCTTAAGGAGGAGTAGGATTAACACACAGGCTGCAAACCCTCCCCTTTGGCCCAGCTTCCCTGTTTCAGGGATTCAATTGCACACAGCATCCGGCAAGGTGCCGATTTCCTTTAAAACAAGATAGAAAGCACACACCTTGCTTTAGGCCAAAATTATGCTCCCAGAAATCTCCAGGGACTGTTCTTGTTTTAAACTTTCGCATTTGAGGGGACTTTGGCACTCACTGTTCCCCAACCCTGCTGCCATGCCTCGCTTGGAAGAAGGGTTCAGTCCTGGCAGGTCCTGGGATAAGTTAGAGATCAATCCTTGGACCTCGGAATGCACAGGGGCATTATGGGAAATTCAAAATTGCAGCCATCCGGTGCCAGTCAGAGAGGTGAGCAATGGCCCTTGGTGATGATTGGTGGAGAGCCACTGACAGGCAAGCTGAGGGGGGCTAGGATGAGCAGGCAGCCCATGGAGAGTCCTGTGCCAAGGTGCTTTACAAGCCTAGAGCCACTCCGAAGCCCAGAAAGAGAGCAGAGCTGCAATCTTTCTCCTGGCCATGTCAGAGGCAGGACCCACCGACGATGCTAAATCTGCTTCACTCAAGTGTAACAGATTGTCAAGTGTCTGCCATTCTGCTATCCACTCACTGATGCAATTTGATACTTAGTAGATAATGTCATTTTACTTGGGTTAATAGTCACATGTACTCATGCACACTTGTGCTTGTTTGGAAGTGCAAAGTTGTGCATGATCTAATGTAAAATTGCACAAAACTGCCTGAGACTTAAAGTGAAAAGTGCAGCTCTCACATCTCCATTTTCATATTTTAGAGGAAATGCACCTTTTTTGTTCTGCTCTTCTTTCCCTCCATATTTTTGTACATCTACATTTGCACACACTTCCAAAAAGTGTTCCTTTTCAGTCCACAAGTCTGTGCTACTCAAAGCCAGTCAGATGTGGGAGAGACTTCTAAACATCCAAAATTCATTTGAATATGCTGAAGATTTCAATAAACTCCCTAAGATCTATCAGTCTTCTCATACTGGTAAGGTAGATTCCCATCCCATCATGCTGCCTCAATCAGACCTCACCTGGTCCCAGGCACTGACCACCCCTCCTGTGAAGACAAAGACGTAGCCCATGGTGATCAGGCAGGTCCAGATGATGGCAGAGAAGAGCCGGGTGCATTGCTGGAAGATGCTTTCAATGCACACCAGGACCAGGATGAGGCTGAAGACGGTCAGAGAAACAAATAATGTAATCAGAAAACCCAGGTTGGAGGAGAAATCCTGGGGAAAGAAGGGAAGGCAAGCATTAATCTCACACCCACGTGCAAGCCCTGCCTTTCGGCTAGGGAGTGAGAGGTCCCAATCCTCGCAAGGATGGAAAAAGTACACATGCTTTGCAACAAAACACCCCCAGTTCAACTGCCAGCAATCTTTCACTGGAGAGAAGAAAGTGAAAGAGCCCTGCTTTAGACTCTGAAAAACCACCCAAACCCGAGGTCACAACTGGCCATTATATTATGTGCATCTAGATCTTTTTCTTTTCTTTTCTCTAAAATAAGTTCAGGACCCCTGATCTGAATGGTAAAATCCCTCCCTAATTCCAACAGAAGGATCCCAATCTGTGCCTCCCCTAGAGTAAAAAGGGGAGGAGCAAACAGCTGATGGAGACATATGCAAAGTGAAGTCTGTTCTGGGCCTTGGATGGATGGAACCTTGGTCTGAGCAATGAAAGAGCACTGCATGATCAGAGGAACAGGAAATGTTGCAATGAAACAGGCAGGTGGTTCTTGAAATGTGGGTGCAGCATACCACTCTTCCCCAATGTTTGATTTCTCCCCATGCCTTTTGTGCCTCCAAGCAGATATGGTGGTTTTCTGTCATTTATTTCCTAGCACCTGGTATACTGTTTTTGAATGTGGTAGTTCTATTGAGATCATCCTGTTTCTTTTTCTATACCATCCAAGCTGGTCTCCATCACCACATCTTACAGTGGTGAGTTCTACAGGATGTCTGAAGAAGTCCTTTTCTGTCCACCAGCAATCAATTTCTCTGGGTGACCCTAAGGGCTAATATATGACAGATGTAGGAAAGGTTCGTCTAACTCCTCACCATCCCATAAGCTTTTCTCCTTCACTCACTCACTCCTAACCTTTAGGAGTGAATCCTCTCTTTTCTTCTTCTGCACCAAATTGGGAGATGATCTCTTCTGCTTTTTCCCTCTAGTTCTATCATATCTCCCTTTCAAGAAGGGCTAACTTCTTGAAAAGTTAACTGGGGGACAGCTATGCTTATACCAGGAAAGACAGTTCTTTAACCAGCCCAGTATTCTTTATACCAGGGTCTTGAACCTCCAACCTGTAAGCTAAACTCTGGGCCACCTGTGGTCAGAAACCAATCCTCTGGTGTTTCCTCAGGGGGCTGCTTCTGCCCCAGCTTCAGCCCATTTCCCCCTCCCTGCAGGTCATTTGGGTGTTTCTGTTGTGTTCTTACCCTCATTCTAGAAGATTGAAATGCCTCTTCTGGGGCTTCATAACTGGCACTAAGAGCCTTAAGATGCAATGCTGTGCATGTTTAGACAGAAAAAAATGGGGTGTGATTGGAGGATGCTGGGAATGCAGGGCCCTTTTTCTGTCTAAACATGAACACGATTGCACCCCTAAGCTCAGATGGGATGGCAGTTTTGAGATCAGGCCATGACCCTTCAAGCTTTTACACCACTGGCATGTAAGCAAGAGCTTCTCCAAGCTGGAATGTAGTTCTTGCCCTGGCAGAGAGCTCCACAGGTCTCAGGGAGGAAAAAGCTTTTTTCAGCACCTGCTCCCTAACCTTAACCCAGGATGTGAGTGACTGAGCCTGGGAAATCTCCGCACATGAAGGAATGAAGATCCCTCCCCCAAAAAGTGTATCTTGCAATCTGATTTGCTGCAAAGCACTAACTGTTCTGACCCTCTTTCCTGGGCACCCTCACTCCACACAGCCTTCCATTCCCCACAACAATGCTTACTTACCCTGCCATCGGCGAAGGACGCAGCAGTGAGAGACACACAGATGCCCAGCACGATGACCAGGAGGAGAAGGATCAGGGGATACTGCTGGCTCAAGCTGTAATAGGTTTGGTAATAGAGGTCCTCTCGAGGGGTGTCGCTGGATGCCTGCAGGCGACGTTGGCAGGGCATGGCTTCCTCACCCCCGCCAGGGTCTACCTTGCACGGAAATGTCACCCGCTCCTTGTCCTTAGGACTGCTGCAGCATGGTGACCCAGCACCCCTTGCTGTCACAAAAGCTGCTGCTGGTCAAGGCTGTGGACTCCCATGGTCAAAGCGGATGAGTCCAGCCAGGTGGAGAAAGCCCCCTTGGCTATGAATGGAAAGCCACAACTTTGCAGATCACCCTGTGGATCACAAGGCTCAGGAAAATCTTTGTGGGTCAGGGGAAGTCAGCATCCTCCATGCAGAAAGTTTGGGATCACAGGACCTGAATAAAGAGATTTTTTTTTAAAGCAAGGCAGTGATAATTTGTCAGGAAGTTAATCTGGGATCTGTGGCTAATCACAACTATCAGTTTTATCTCAATGCATCTTTAGACAAGTTATCAATGCCAGAATTTTTTGGGATCATTGGCAGCAATATGCTCTGCGTACACTGGACGTCAATCCATAGATTTCCTCCATCCAACCTCACCACTTAAAATTCCCACCATCCCAACTGAATTCACCAAGGCATGGATTTCAGGGAGTGGGCAGTGAAAGCCTATGCCCCCAAATGTGTTTGCCTCTCAGATGGTGGGAGGCACCAGGCACATTGGTCGATTGTTTTTCCTGAGCAACACAGAGAAGTAACAATGGGACCCATTTCCTTGGGGCCTGGCTATGCTCCCTTTGCTTGAACCTCCCAGCAGGGGCAGAACAGCAGGGCTGGGGCCAGGGGTAGGCACAGCTAGCAGCTGCTGAGCCCACACCCCTTCAGGGACCCACTGCCAAGAGCCTCTGCACTTGGCCCTGCTCTTCACCCTTTCAACCTGCTCGTTGACCTGCAGAAGTTGAGAAGGCAGTGCAGAAGATGCACCTCCCTATTCAGTAAGCAAGTGGTGGCCATGATGGGAAGGAGGAGGAGAAGAAGAGCAGCTGGTCCTAATGGTAGTGAGAAGGTGGGCTTACTGAGGGAGGAGGTCTATTGGCCTTGACCTAGTCTTGTCCAAGGCCCTCAAAAACCTGGAGCCCACCATCTGCTGGAGATGTTCCATCTCCAGATTTCCTTCCTCAAACAAGGGGTTGAATTAGACCAGATCCAAGGCTCAGTCCCAACTCAAGGATCATTGAATGGTTCTATAAAAGCCCATCTAGCTTTCAGGTTATTTTTATTACTCATTACATGTCTATCCCACCCACAACCAACACTCTCTCAGCAGTTCACAACATCTAAGTCACCCATCCAAATTTCAACCAGACCTTCAACCAAGCTTCCAAGATTAGGCAGGATCAGGCACTTCAGGTAGGGATACTTTGGTTGGTAAGTTTGCCCTTTCTTCTTCCTTTTTAAGGGACTGCTTTGAAGATTTAAAGGGTGGAGGAGAAACCATGAAACCCTGAAATAGTCTGTTAATAATCACAGCCTCAGGAATGAAACAAAGCAAATAAACACCATCCACTCACTATCTAAACTGTCAGTACTCTTGTAGGCTTTATAGTACTAACAGGAATAACAACCAGGAAGGAAGGAATTCCTATAAAGTTGGTTTTGGAATTGTAGCGAGGTTGGCGATGGTCTGAGAGCAGATCTTATTGGAATGGCTGGGATTGAGTTTTCTGGAAAAAGCAAAGGGTGATGGTGAGGAACAAAGAAAATTGGATAGAATCTGGCTGATGAAAAGTAAGAGGAGGCAATTAGGAAGATAAATATTTTCCTGACCAACAACATTTTTCCTACAGTGATAGGAAACACTTACATTCCACTTTTGACAAAAGGACTCCCCTTTTAAGCCTTACATGACGAAAGGACCCCGCTTATGCTCACACTTGAATACATGAAATACAGACAGGCTGGCATTAAGGATGCAGAATAAAGGAGAGATCATCTGATAGGGCAGCTGGATGGGCAAAGTTTGAGGGAAAGACCCAAGCTTGCCAAATGCCTCTTTCCCCCATCCCTGCCACAGTACGCACCTGAAATCTTTTTGGCTCCCCCTTTTCGCTACAACTCACTTCCTCGGAAATCCAGGAGCTTTCCTAGAGCACGATGCCCTGTTACAGGTCCGCCTCTACTCTGTTCCCTTGCATTGTTCAGCGTCCTAAGGAAGTGACATTTCACAAAATCCTGGCTTCTCTCCCTGGTACTTGGTGTCTGGATTTCTGGGTCCTCCCGGTGCCTAGAAGCATTGCCTGGGAGCGGAGGCAGGCAAAGCCCAGTGCCCACTTAGTCTGCTGTCCCCTCTGCCTGGTTTGCCTTCTCCCCCAGACACGCATCCACAGCTCCCCACTTCACAGATCCCGTCCACATGGGCCCCATTGGCTCCTCACCTGCTCCAGTTCCACGCTCGGAGCTGCCTCCCTGAATTCCTGGCTGCTGTTCAGCATGCAGTTGCAGGAAGTCTTCCTTGCATAGCCCAGCCCTGTCACTGAATCGGAGCTTTAAAACTCCTGCCAATTAACGCTTTCATCTCCACCCCAAGGGTGGGATGAGGGGATTTCAAAGCCCATTGCAGCAGTGCTGGGTGCCTCACCGCTGAGGCGAGGCCACGGCCAAGAATGTGTTTTAAGCTGCCTTCTGAGACAAAATATCCCAAGCACTGCATCTGTAAAATCAAGCTGGATTTTTGATGGTGGGGGGACCACAGGAGGCAGTGCTGAAACTAGGGCTGGACCTCAGGGCCAAATTCCAGGGTTTTGCATCCCTATGGGGCAGAGGTCTGTGTGTGTGTGTTGGGGGGGGGAGTGATGAGACCCTCAAGGCAGCTGGAGCAGATGCTCTGTTATCCCTCTTGCTGAGACGATTTAAGCGCACGCTATGAAATGCAGATTTAAGTGTAAGATTTGAAGCTGCACTGGCTGCTGCTTGAAAGAAGGTTGGTAAACAGTCTGGTGGCTATGACTATAATGGATCAGGAAGGCTGAAGCAGCTACAAAGCAAGGAAACATGGCCAAGCAAGAGTTGTGTGCTTCTCCAATGCAAGTCTGTGCGTGGCCACCCCCAGGCATAAAACTATTAAATCCAGAGTTTTAGCTTTGTGACACGGTGTGGGGGTACCCAAAAGCAGAAGAGAGGGATCAAAAATGCAAGAAAAGGACACACCACTGCCAGATTTCTGGGGAAGGGAAGATTTTGCTGTGTGGCAGGGGGTGGAGAAGATGAAAAGGGCCGTTTATCATACTATAAATGTCATTTAGATCCCAGCAAAACTTGCTTCAGAACAAGCAAGTGTCTTTGGTCTTCACAACAACCCTGCCAGGTAAGCTAAACAAGAAATGAGTGACTGGGGAGTGAAATTTGGATCAAGGTCTTTCCGTTCATAGTCTAAGTATCCACTATACCATGATGTAAAGGTGTTTTTATTTCCCTTGATCATACTTCACAACTCCTCTAGCAATGTTATCAGTGCAGCTCAAGCCATCAGAAGCATGGCAATGGAGAGATAAAATTAATAATCATTCATCTTCATCATCATCCTCATCATCAGAAGCCCTGCTCATTTCATCCCCTTTATATAGTTGAAAAAAGAGAGATTAGCTGGGGGTGAAAAGTGTATTTATCAGTTTGCAGGTTTCAGAGTTATTAACCGTAGTCACTCGGTGAACAATATAAGTTCAGCGGACTTCCAAAAGGATTGTTTTGCAGTAACGGCACCAGAGAGATTTATATTCCGGTTTATGGCAGGGAAGTGATGCAACAAGTACACAATGCAAGACATAGCAGCCAATCCTAAACCTCTCCAACTTTAAACCAGCTTCCTGGCTAAATCGCAGAATGAGTCACTGGCTCAGAGTCACGCAATGGGCTTCATGGCTGAATAGGGACTAGAACACAGATCTCCCAAGTTCCAGTCTGGTTCTCCATCCACATCCACCATACCACCCTGGTGCTCACTGGTTTAATGAGAATTAATGAGAATTGCACCATGTTTGTTGTGTTTGCAGGACTCGCGTTCCGAGTGCCTGTAAAAGACGAATGGCTGTCCCCCTTCCCAGGCCAGTGATAATTTCATCACAAAATCAGTTGTGGAATTATTGGTGTGTTCCCCATCTCACAGTTCAAGTCCTCTTGATTAGGTTGGAACCTTGAGGACCCCTTGAGATGAAACTTCAATTCCATCCAGTGAAATTTAAATATATGAACAGATACTAATTAGACAGATTTCAGCTGCTGGATCATTAATGGATGCCATGCGTGTGCATGTGTGTATGCACCCACACATGCACCCACATTTATACCCCATGATCCACCAAGAGACCGGTGGGAGAAAAGGGGCCAAAAAGAAAGGGAAAGTAGCTTGGATGTGGAAAGGTGAAATCATGAAAGAAATCAAGGCCTTGAATGAATCAGGCAACTAATGAGGCCAAAGGAAGACAGCGGCTTCCTGACGCATTTAGAGTCGCTAATGAGCAGGGCAGCTAATGTCATTTCTTGCTGCTTTCCATCCTTCACAGCACAGATGCCGTCCATCAAGGGCCTCCCATTTTCCCAGAGCAGAGAGTCATTTCCCCAAAGTCAGGGTTCCACACTGCCTGCCATTGCATCGCCATCCCCCCCCACCCCCCCAGCCGGTGCTTTCCACACCTATTGCAGGTAAGGCTGCCTGCTCACCAGACTCAGCTTGGCCATGCATGTTTTTTGGGTGACCATGGCTAGAAAAGACAGTGATGGTCTAGTCTGCTCCAATGCCACAGCTGTGAAAACACGGCTGCACATATCTGGCAAACAGGCAGGTCTTCCACTGAGTTCTGCCCCCAGGTGTACTAAAATATCCTAGACTCGCTCCCCCCCCCCGCCAAACCACTGGCTCCACTCCCCAAACTCCACTAATTTCCAAATTGTTTATTGCTGCTGCTGCTGCTGCTGCTGCTGCTGCTGCTGCTATTATTATTATTATTATTATTATTATTATTATTATTATTATTATATTCAAAGGCAGGGCACATTTGTTATAGGCAGCTATCTAACAGATAATGCTTTTCTAGGTATTCCAATACTGGAACAGAGGAAGGGGGCAATTTCTACAGTTATTCCTCCCTGGATAAAAGGTGGGGCATTTAGGGGTGGAACTGGGCATGTGAGACATTTAGGGGTGGATCTGGGCACGGGCAGTCGAGGCTGCAATCTCTGCTTGGACTGCAGATTTCTCAGTGACCCACAACTGGGTACACAATACCAACCCACTGTATTTAGGAGGCTAAAAATAGGGAAACCCTCCTGGGTGTCACTTTCACCAGGGCTTCTTGGAAGAAAAGTGGGGAATAAATGTGGGAACATTATTTTTATTACTTTGCATCTATGTCCCACTGTTTTTCCCCTTGTGAGGAACCCAAGGCTTTCTTTTCATGCTCACAACAACCTTGTGAGGTAGATTAGACTGAGAATGAGCAGCCAGCCCAAAGTCATCCGGCGAGCTGCATGGCCAAGGGGGGACTAGACCTCAGATCTCCCAGGTCTCAGTCCAACACTCCAAGCCCTGCTCCACATTGGCTCTCAATGCACGCATAAAGGAAGGGATACATTTCCTTTGGGGCTTAGGAGGATCTTGAGGGCTAGAAACTTCATATTCTGTTTTAAAATGTGGTGTGTTTGTGTTTAAATGCAAGTGGGTGAGCACAAAGCTGTCCTCACCTTTGCATCCTTAGGACACGGCCTCAAAGAATGTCACCAAATTTCCCTCTTGCCCTCATTTGCATTTGGCAGAGATCTGATCGCCCTGGCTTTGAGGCTTAGCACAGTGATGAAGCAAACCGCAACACCTAGCTAGCTTTTTCCCCCTGAGGGCTGGGAAAATAAAACCCTCAACATGCCCTGGAAACCTAGAACATCACCAGCAGGAAATGTTGCCATCCCCAACGAACCGCCCAGTCCTATTTTGTCTACCTCTGCGGGAGAGAAGAGAGGAAGCGCCGTTATTTCCTGCTGCTCATTTCCTTGCTGAATCACAGCAGAAGAAAGCTGCGATCCCACCCTGGGCGGGTTGCAGCTGGCCCTTCTCCAGCATTTTGTGGCCAGCTGAAAAGCAACCTTGCCAGAAAGGGCCATGGAGTCCTCCGCACACCAGCCCTTTCACCTAATAGCAGTCCTCAGCAGTTGAACAAAGACACTCTGCACATGCTCAGAGATACCCTAATCCCTCTCTTTAAGACCTAGCCCTGATCCTTGACATCAAAAAGTCATTTGAGGATTTATGATGATGTGCTTTTTGTTCTATGACCGACTTGAGATATTTGTGATGGACATTTGTCTATTACCATCCGGTAATAGAATTCATTAGAATTACTATTTAATTTATTAGAATAATTCTATTTATTAGAATAATAATTTAGAACCAGTAAATAATGGCTTTTTAAGGTAAATAAATAAATCATTTATTTGATTAATAAAAAAAGTACTTTTCTAGAGGGCTATGCCCAGAGCCAATTTGGACTTCAACATAATTCTGGAAAGGGATCTGTGGAAAGACTGAGGGAATGAGGGTCCATGGAGGTTACCAAGAATGTGCACTAAGAGTCCAGAACTTTCCCTCTCTGGCACTGCTTTGCATTTCCAGAAGACAAGCGATTTACAAGTCGCTTCACAGTAGGCGACAAGCCAAACGCAGCCCACCAGAGCTTCAGATCTGCCTTTCAGGGTCCCCCAAAGGCCATGTTTTCTGCCCCTTGCCTTCCCTCTGTCCCCCCATCTCCATTTGATGCCTCGTCCCTGGCTTTTGCACTCCCCTGCTCCTTTCTAAAATGTTGAACCATCTCTCCAAACACTCACTTACCAGCAACAAGGGCTTTAATCTAAACTCGGCTGGTATTCCCAGTATTTGGGTCATGCCCCCTTGCAACCCCTTCCACCCTGAAGACCCCACGAGGTTCTCCAAACCAAAATTCAGCCCCCAGGCTGGAAGTCATTCTTTACAAACTAGCAGCAGCTTCTCTGGATCTCTGGGACTGAGCAGTTTTCTTCCTGCACTGCGCTCTCTCTTTTTCACCCAAATTGCGACGGATGGTAGCTGGGATGTTCTACACAAAAGCACATCATACACCAGAGCTAGTTACAGTGAAGCAGGC